GCCTCAGGACCTGGGTTTTTCAACCAGGTTTTGTTGTACTTTATGGGAGGGGGATGTTCATGGTAACTACATGTGAGTACAGGAGTTTATCTTTGGGCCCTCGAGATGGGGAGGAAGCTTCAAGATGAGATTCAAGCTGGCTCAAACATGGTTTCAGTGCCGTCAGGTGTGTTGAGGGACTGTTGAGGGTGTTGCGGTGGATGTGGGAAGTTTTCTGCAATGTGCAATGGCAACACCGCAGCATGGCGCAATGCAGACGTGAGATGTGCTAGCCAAGATGACCAAACTCGGACCCAATTGGCCGACGATTCAAAGATGCCCAAACTCACGCTCGGAGTTGTATGCTTGCAAGGCTCCATCATCAGCCTGCCTTCAATTAGGCACCCCTTCGGGGCAAGGTGCTCACATGCCGCGCTCCCATCATGGAGGTCATCTTATTCCGATTTGGCGCATAAAGATCATCCGGAGCTGTGTGTGGCTTTTATTGGTCATCATCATTTGGCGCTGTATTTGCGCGCGGCTCTGCGAATGAGCTCTGTGGCGTGACCTGGCCATACCTGGCTGCATACCTTGCAGAACGCTGCTGAAAGCTCGACTCTTCTTCGGCCACAGCCGAAGCGTTGAGTGCATCACCATCTGAGCAACCTTCTTAAGATACTGCCGCTTCTGCTAGGAATGGCACAAACTCCGCCGGCACTGCGACATCCCGACACTTGTCCTCGAAAGAGGAGAGCACTGCTTCATCTTCGGTAGAGCCGACGGGGCGCTCTTCTGCCTCAAGCTGTACATGTTGAACGTGCCAGGGAAGCTCTCTTGAACACTGGCTCTGCAGCCCTCTCGTTCTTGGCTTCTGCGGGTTTTGGAGTCGCTGCTGTCGTCGGCGGGGCAGGGGTGGTAGCAGCGGAAGCAAGCCGTGCTGCGACTCCGCATTTGCAGGTGTGGGAGGCCTTCGCTCTTGGCTGCCCGGACTTCGGCTGTGCTGTGACAGGGCAGAGTCATTGGGACTTGCAATGCCATCGACTGCTGATTTTGACTCCTTCAGCAAAATTCTTTCCACGCCCAACCGGGACGATGAGTACCGATCTGCTGTGCCGAGCAGTCGACACAGTCTTCTGGAGTGATGCTGCGCTGCGTTGCGAGAGCCTGCCCATTTCGGCAGCTTGCCTGTCGGCCTCCTGCATTTCTTTCCCCTGTCAAGCTCCAGGATCTTTAGTGCAAAGCCAGCCGTTCTTGAACAGGCAACGGAAGGCTACGAAAGCCTGAAGTCTTCGGAACTTTCAGGAAACATTGGCAACCACGATCACCTGCAACATCATCTTAAGCCCGTGCTTCTTGAGGGATCAAGTGGGCTGAGTCCTGAGCATGGGAGGGCGTTGCCATCGGAGGAGGCTGCCTTGGCTTGCTTTGGGTTTTCGACATGTGTGCGCTTGCAGTTCCACGTACCAAGACAACCAATATCCCCAACCGTGGGCTTTGGAAGGACCCCAAAGACTCGAAAGCAGCTTGCACACCATGGCAGACGAAGTCCGCAATCCGCGGAATGGCACGTGCAGAAACCGCATGCAACCCCATGCAACCCCAGCTGCCTACACATCCTTAGGTCCCAGACCCTGGAAAGCTGAAAGACTCATGAAAACCTGACCCTGAACTCTAAAACCGGTTAAACAGATGTTTGGGCGCGGCTTCTGCGACTCGGCGCCCACGGCAGCCAGATGTCGGGCCTCCAAGGCGTCGAGCTGATCCTGATTGAAAAACTGCAGAGGTTCAATGAATTGGTCATTCCCATGAGAAAGAGCCGGACTCAATGTTACAAAGCCGCAGGCATGCTGGTCAGTTTAGCAGGTGGCCCTGACAGCGGGGGAATGCCAGTAAGTCCTAAACCATACAAACCCTACCCGGGTCCAGCAGCGGAACCAGCAAGTGTGAGTGCTGTGGCTGCAGCACAAAGCTTACCTTGGCTCTTCAGTTCTTGGGTATGTCTTCACCATCAGGAGTGCAACCAAGTTGAGGAAGTCCTACTGTGTGTTTCAATGTCACTATATAAGTTATTAGACGGTGGATTCCATGTCGTTCCACTACCCCAAGATCAAACTCAAGTTCATTCAAACTCAATTAGTTCCAAAATAGTCAAATCTGAAAACAGACGCACTGCCGCACTTCCCAACCCCGAAACCCAAAGCAGGGGCTTTACTAATACGGGCAAGTTTCGGGGGAAGGGATTCATGTGCGTACATACGTTTTGCAAGCAGGCAAGGCACCAGCATCTCCCATAAGTCCGGATCCTTCCGGGGACAAACAAATTTGTCGAGTCTGTTAGAATGGCCCGTGCCCGTCACATGATTGCTTTGAGACAGACACTTCTCCCCAGAACTGATCAACCCTCTCCACAGCGCAAGACTCCCACAAACCTGCATCACCACGCTTGTGTTTCCGCGACTCCTGCGTCTCCGCCGCGAACTCCACAGCACGGCAGACGTCCCCAACCTCCTCCAAAAGGATCCTGCAGCGCCCCTCTCCCCACACACCCTCCCTTCATCCTCCTTCCGCCCCCCCCAACCTTGACTGTTGGCCTGATGGTTTTGGTGCGGGGGGAGAAGAGCTGCAACCTGAAGCCTCTAGTTCGAGGATGTAGGTCAATGTAAGCTTAACGCAAAAGTCTATGCAACCAGGCATTCCACAAACCGCAAATGACCTTTGTGGAGCCTCGGGTTCACGTGCGTATTGGAACCCCTCCCACCAGGAGGCCCCCATCGAACCCAACCCCACGATGTCATGACGTGCTAGACTCTAAGACGCCTGAGGGCATCCGCCACACGTCCAGCCCGCCCGAGGAGGTAAGCAACCTCTTCACCTTAGCTGCTTCAACTCTGTTTGCACAGCGTCAGAACAGGTCACAGTGTCAAGCCTCAGAAACTAGGAAACTTGTTTACGACTTACAATACCGTCCGCTCTGAAGAAGGTCTGCGGTCTGCCGCGGTTTGGCTCGTGATTTGGCCAGTAGACATGCATGAAGTATTTATTGCACAAAGCCGTGCCTGTACTGGAGCTGGACCGGAACATCAGGAACAAACATACCACACCTGTCTTCAAAACAAAAAAGCCCCTTCGAACGCCTCTCTGAAAGCGAGTCCACATTGGCATGGCAATGCGCAAACACTGCTCTGAGCACTTGGCGCAAGCCCTTCCGCTGGCACACCGCCAGCGCCTAGCATCATAACTTCACCAGAATGAGAAGGAGAACAGAAAGAGAACATGCCAATTAGGGAGGACAGGTCAGAGCTGGACAGGTACGCACACGTATATACAGATAGCGACGGACATGGAGACATGGCGAGCCAAACAACTTGCAACAACTGGCACTCGACACATGGATTTTGTAGATCTCACGAGTTTCAGCAGTTTCAGGGCACTCTCAACCAAACCAAAGATGCAGACCCCTTGCTGTTGCCTGTTCCAAAGGGTAGCGTTCACTGGCTCGAAGGAACGGCAACAAACCAGAAGGATCCTGGCCAGAAGCATGTTGATGGCTTTGCCTCTTTCAGTTGAAGTCTTGAACGGCGCCTTCCAGATGTAACGGTGCAGGCCCGCATTACGTACTTGCAATATCTCCGGGCCATGTGCGTGCTGACCAAGCGACGTACTCTGCAAAGAGTTCCACCATCTGCGAATGGTAACCTGCATCTTTTGCAGGGTTTAGACCGCTGTGCTGCGACGAGACCAAGATCAGCCTTGGCCGGCAATCTCGTCCTGTGCGAATAGCTGCTTCAAGTACCTTGTCTTGCTGAGTGACATCAAAGTCCGAACGAACAAGGACCAACTATCCCAACAACGACCACAGGCGACATACCTATTTATCTTACCTGTCACCCGACGTGGAGTGGAGTGTCGGCTCAGAAAGAAACTCTTGTTTTGGGATGTGGCTTCATACTGTGTGCTGCTTGGCCACTCATGTTTCCAACGAGTCTCGCACTCGTCAAGCATAGCCATCACGGAGTCCACGGGCATGGATGCGCGGCAAGAGACCGCCAACTCGCAGGCTTGTTTGTCATCAACCTGATGCACAGGCGACAAACATCTTTACAAGCTGGGAACAGCCCGGCGCCAGCCTGGAAGAACTGCTGCAACTTTGGCATCAGCAACTTTGCAGGATCATGCCCAGCAGAAATCAGCCGGCGCACCATCTTGAAAACCTTGCGGCCGATTCTTGGTGTCGCACGTGTGTGGGAAGGCACAAAAGCACAGCAGATGTCGCCTCGGAGCTGCCAAGCTTCAAAAGCCTCGGTCAGCACTCCCGACGCACGAGGTTTGGGGATGCGCGCAAGACAGCTCATGAAAATGTACGCGTGCGCCACCACTTGGCCGCCAAAACACAACTCCACAGCCAGGTCGGGATCGTTACTCTCCGATAACCGCGCTAGCGCTTCGGCGCGGCAGCGGTCGTCCTGGAGACACAAAGCCATGTTCGTGGGATCTTCCTTGCGTCTGAATGTCAAGGTCAAACCAAAGGCTCCCTGACAGCGCGAAACCAACACTCGGCTGCATGCAAAGGATGCAACGACTATTCAAACCCTGACAATTGCACACTCATGATGGCAAGTCCCATATGAACTTCAGGCAAGGGTCTTGTGAAAGCTCCGCCGAACTCGCAAATGAGGGCGCATCTTTGCTCAGAATTTCCTGTGCAATTGGTCCGAATGGGCAGGCCGTCCAAACACAAGCAAGTCTCAGTGCTGGGCGGACAGTTTGAAGCGCTCTGAAATTCTGAATGAATTGAAGTATGACAAACTAGGATTGAGCACAGTCTTCCTTAGTGCCATGTCAAAAGCCAGCCACAACAAAAAACTGATTCCTTTCCTTATGACCACCGCTCAGGTTCGGACCCCACATCTGCGAAGAACGGCAGATAAACTTCCGTTTGTCGATGTTTGTCCGATTGCCACGCCAATGGGTCTGATGAGTATGTAAGGGTGGGGGCAAATGCGGCAAATGGCTACTGGACGTCAGGCAAGAATGGGCAAAATGTCTTCGGAGCCTTCTGGTGGGTTGCCTTCCTGACTGTACCGTGCTGTGTTGCAAGTCGCCATCTTTGCCAAAGTGGATGCTTTGTGCATGGCAGCGAACATTTTCAAGGCAATGGGGTGTGCAGACACTGCCGTGGTCTCGCAGAATTCTCTTCCCCCAGAAACTGCCAGTACAGCACCGCTTTCCGGGACTGTTGTGCCACTGTACTCTCGTACCCTTGTGAACCGACCAACAAGACTTGCCTGCAAGCTGTCTCCACCGTCAAGTGCAGCTTTGTTCAAGACGTGCATCATTGCGCAGAGCAACGTGGTTTCTAGGCTAATCGCGGCGCGTTTCTGGCTTTGGACCTGCAAAGAGATTTTCGTTTTGCACTTTCAGCCAGACTCAGCATCGAACTTTTCCAGTTTCTCCAGAAGCCGTCCCAAGCCCCGTTTGACTAACTTGGTTCTTGCTGTTGGTCGACTTGTCGGCGCCGGGCCGGCTGCGGAAATGAGCGGTGGGAATGATGTTTGCAAGGCTGTCGTTGTTTTTGCAAGAAGGCAATGCCGCTTGGAAGTCTACAGGACACGCGATGCGTGGGCAGCAACCGCCGTCACATGTCGTGATGCAGTTGCAGAGCGAATGCGGTTGTCTTCACGAAGCTGGAAGGCCGGTGAGTCTTGGACCCCATGATAGTGGCTCGCGGCTCGCATTTAATCGGGCCATGTTAGAGAGTAGTGCATGAGACCCCCTTGTCAACACGCACTGCGCACTGCGCACCCAACCTGGTAGCAACTCTTCAGCCCCCTGGTGCCTGCAACTCGGCGGTCGAGAAGATGTCTCTTGGCCACCAAGAAAGCACCTGACTTTTGGGATTTGAAACGCTGCATTTTGGCCCAGGGGCAATGCTCAAACAATCTTCAAGGACGAGCTACGAATTACACAAATCCTTGCGTGAAGTCTCGGACATCCATCTTAGGTCCTAAGCCACGCACGCCGTATGCTAATGCTAATGCACACATCAGATCAGAATCGCAGCTCCGGACCTGCAAGTCGAATTACATCTCATAAAAAGAGCTGGCGAGACCTCCTTTCCAAACAAGAAAATCAGTGAGCATGCATTCGGTGGGCTGCAACCAACGCCGACGGGTAGTGCACCAATCGTCTCAGCGCATCATCGTAGACCTGCACGGGGGACCCAGCCGGTTACGACTGGACCATCAACGTGGACGCAAACGCTGTCCGTATCGTTCCTAGGCACACGCCAGTTCCTCTGTATTGTTTCACACACCGATTTGTCATTCTCTCTCGTCCTCTCTGTTCCTAGCAGGCTTGGGGCTCAAAGCTCCTGGCTGGGGCACCAGAACGAAGTGGTTGGCATGTCTCAGTGGTTTTGCTTCTCACTCACTCGCCCGGGCTTTACCAATGTTGCGATGCCAAATGATACCTTGCACTGCTCCGCGAAGGTCACAACTATCCACCGAGTTTGGGTCGGTTCTCAAAGAACGACGGCTGGAGTTATCAACTTGTTGGGCGCTTCCGCTGTCTGATCGAACCTATCGTCTTTTTTCTTCGTCGTGCAAAAAGAACCGACCATTTGTACAAGCTTGCTCACAAAATATTTGACACTGCCTCTCACTGCCTCTCCAGCCGAATGGTTCGTTGTCAGCTCCTTCCCGCCTCGTTGGGCAGGCGGTCCTTCGGAGGCACCGGCAACTGCAAAGCCACGTGGGGCAGCGCCTTGTGCGGTCTTTGCATGTCTTTGCCGCGTCTCAGCCGGGAGACAACCAAAGTGCCGACCGAGAAACTGCACACGTCGTAGACACACATGCGTCCTCCCTTGTATGACAGTCTGTTTAAACCACCCAAGCTCAATCCCTGAAACAGCATGTGAAAGGCATCCTGCCTCAAGCCTCCTAAACATGATGCAGAGACCCCGTTTCTTCTTTCTTCACCGCCAAGAAACACCCGCACGGTCGAAAAGAACCAAAGACTCCTGCGCTCGGCTTCCGGGATACCGTGCCAAGTCTGGCAAGTTAGGAAGAGCAGGGAAAAGCTACGTGGCAGGAACTCTCTTGACGAACCCACCCTCGGGACCCCAACTGCCTGTCACACCTTGAGACCCTGTGAATTCATGAGTCTTACCGCTGGAGCTGGAACTAGATGCATCAATCAAAAGCCCGGAAGCGCAAAGCCACGGCTCCAAAAGGATATGTTGGCTCTGCATTGCTAGGTTAGGCAACCACGAACCCGACAAGGAGAGGCGATGCAACCCGAAGCCATCCAACCTTAGACATAAAAACCCCCTAAACCATAAAGCCATAAAGACGAACGGCAAAGAAACTCAAAACGGAGAATATTCAGGGAGCTTTCCTGGATGAACACAAGCTAGGTTCACTGAGCTGCCATGGGTCACAAACTTCCACCAGAAGCAACCCTTACTTGCACCCTTGAGCCAAGACTGCTTTTTTGTCCTGCCAGGTGGGTGGTTCCAGGTGTCCTGAGTTGCATAAATTCATATAAAGCCTGCAGGATAGAACTTGCGGGCGAATCTGAAGTGGGACCAAAAGAGCCGTAAGATGATTCGCACTCGGCGTTCCAAAGTCGGCAGCAGTCGCAGAAGAGTAATTCGTGCGTCCGCCACTCTAAGGCTTAGACTCTAAGGCTGTACGGTTGATCGAAACAAGACATGGAGCGCACAGGGTGCTCAAAAGTTTCAAGAACCTTCAAGGAGTGGGGGAACGAAGGGCTGTAAGACAGGCATGCTCGAAGACTGCATCTCACCAAGCTTCTGAAGCGTTGCAAAGTTTGGCAAGCAGATTCGAAGTTGCCTTCTTTGACATCGGGCGTCAAACACCTGAACTCGGGTATCAGATTGCTGTTTCACCCCACTCGCAAACGTTACGTATGTAACTACAGCAAGCGACATCGCCAGTGAACAGCCCTGGGATTTATGGAGCCACTCAACGGCAAAACAGGCGAAATACCAGTCTCAGCCCAAATCACCTCAGGAGTCCCAAAGAACAATGCCCCGAAAAAAGTGCCGCTGCACAAAGGCTTGACTGCTTAACTTTGCCGAGGCACTTCAAGCAAACAATGTGCCGGAGGCCTTGGATGCCTTCGCCACCTCCATTGGCCAAACGGATAGCTTCGTCGAAGTTTCCTTCTTCCAAAAGCTGCACAGCCTCAGTGAGATGGGGTGAGGCCCATGACTGCACAACTGCAATTAATTGATCACCTGGTCCAAGCAACATATTCCAGGAGATCTCTGATCTGAAACCTGGGCTGCGAACCCCCCAACTGGAAGGTGCAACGCTGCTTCTGGAGGAACCGCCGCATGCTAGAAAAACGCAAAAGAAATCCACCTGTTTTCTCCGTGGAACACTTGACACGTGACACACGTGCCTGCGAAACCAACAAGGCACCACAACTTTTGCATCAAAGCGCTGGCACGCGATGGTACTTGAAAGCAGCGAGAGCAAATGCCGCAGAAATCATCGAACATCCCTGAAGACCTGAGCCGAATATACGGGGCCAGAGGGCATCAACAGGTCCCTTGGCCCTGCCAGAAGCATCGGGAGGTGTGATGCAGCAGTCTGGAGGTGGAGGTGGCTGTAGAAGGCCCCTGCGCTGCATGCTGACATGGTTCTGTGGGTTGTGTGAATGGTCTGCTGTTCGAGCTGTTGGAGCTGTGTGGCTGTCCAAAGCCTGCAGGACTATGAGCGTGCTTGGAGACCAGGCTAAAGCAAGTCCCGAGGTTCGGCCAGTAAGGGATTGGGCAAAAGGTTTGATTGTGCGTAGGCAGAGTTTGGTTAGCTAGAGGGATTGCCTAAGTTTAGGGGAATTGAGGTTCGTTGTGCCGATCTGTCGGCTCAGCTGCGGCGGAACCACAAGAACCCACTACCCAGGTTTTTGGGTCAACAACCTGAACCGACCTGGCTCCCATTTCCCGGCCTCTGGCAAACGGCACTTCCACTGCATGAAAGAGTCCCCCAGTCGGTCCCTGCAGCTTTAAGAAAGCCGACCTGCGGGCGGATGCAGGCAGGCTTGGGGCCTGCTGAAGCCCGTGGCACGACACGAGCAACAGCCGTCACCTTGCTCACAATCCTAACCGCCCTAACCCTCAAGCGACTGCGACTACGATGCTCGACGTGCATCTTCCTTCGTTCTAAGGAGCCTTCCAGCTGCCACTTCCAACGTGCTCAGTGTCTCGGGCCCAACAAGCCCAAGGCCGTGGATCCTGGGGTTGTGGGGTTGTGGGGAACGGCCAGCGGCTTCTGCGCGGTGGAACCAGCAAGGTTGTTCTTGTTTTTGGTGGGGGGGGGGCCGGGGGTTCGTTGGCTGGAGATTTTTTTTGCCACCGGCCCAGCAGGCACGCGAACACTGTGGATGGAGTTAGCTAGCCGGAGGTTTCTGAGACGAGTCTGACACCCTGAAGTGAGTCTAAATGGGGTCAGCTCCACTGCAAGCAGTTCGTCGGTTCTGCAGATTTGCATGGCCATGCTGTCGTGCTTCGCAGAAAAGCGCTTGCTTTGCCAGGGCACGTATCCTGGCATACGAGCTCATGCCGTACCTCCGCATACCTGGACAAAACGGGAGGAAAGTCTGGCAGAGATACTGAGTCAGTGGCGATGGAAAGCCTGCAGGACCTAGTGAGCCTGCACATTTGCGAAGTCTACGCATGATACAATCTCAGCATGAGAAAAACCGCTTCTGGCCAAAAACCCGGCTTCCAGAATTTCCAGAGAAGACACGATCAAGCTTTGATCCCAGGGCGCAAGCGTTGATCACGTCATGATTAAAATCAGGTTCCGGTTCACAATGGATACAGCGACAAGGTGCGTTTCCCTTGCTGAGAATGAACAGCTACACTTCCAAGTGGAGCTCACGATACCCGCCGTCTCGGTCGAAAACCCTCCCAAGGCACATGTTGGACCCGCTCGTGGGGAGGAAGACCGCCAGCTTCACAACGTTGAACCACGCCATGGCGAGCCTCCACAGAGTCGAAGAGGCATGTGTCCAAAAACTTTCGGGGCGTTTTGCGTCGACTTCAAACCTCATTCTGGACTCGACATGTTCGCAAGTAGCTGGGCAAGTAGCTGGTCGTCCGAGGTCCACAGGAGGCCAGTCACGCGCCCAGCTCCGGAGGGGCGGGGCACGTAGGTCACCTCGTGCTCAGAACTTTGAGACTTTACAATGTCTGTCGCATTCCAGATCGTTCCGTTAAAGTTGATGGCGAGCCATCAATCAAGCCAGCCAGCCGACCTCGACTATCGCAGACGACCTCCAAGGTGTGAATGGCTTCCGGAACTTG